TAAAACGGTCCCTTCACTGACGTGGCAGGCTCTTAAAAATCAATGACATCAAAGAGGCAGATCTTGAAATGATGACTAAATTGCCTCCTCCTCCTCCGTGCTATGTGCTGTGTACCCTCCTCTCAGAATCAGCTGGACCAAAGCAGGGCCAGTGTTTGCATCAGACATCCCAGGCAGCATTGGTTTGTCATTCAGACATTTCTATTAGAATGTCTATGAATTCTTGATTATGTGGGCAGGGAGGGATATAAAGTGCTGCCCGGCAGAATCTATGATCTATATTTGCTCTGTAGGGAATTTGAGTTATAGACACCAAAGGAACAGTCCTCATTAGTTAATTGAACTAAGCTGTTGATTTTTATAGAATTACATAGAAATTATTCACCCAACTCTATAGATTATATGCAGAGAGGTGTGGGTTTTTTTTTTAATATACTTTACAGGTTGCTCCACTCAAACTATATATACAATATGAAATTTCAAATTATTCTAGGAGAATGATGCTGCTAAATCAAACACATTTTCCTGGATACATATCACTTCTTCATGTTGTTGGTCAAAATTTAAAAAGTACTGCCCTGTGGCAGTAAATGTAGAAGCATGTTATATGTTTGAAATCTAAATCTGGTAGTGTTTGATGGAAATCTACTGGATAGGTTGTCCTATACCTAAACTATTTACACGTTGCCTGGTAGAGGAGTGTGGCATTTTTATTTATTATCCAATGGCTACTTGGAGTCCACCACTTCTACCGGCTGTGTTATTGAATGGTGCTGTTGCTGCCCTGCCATTATAGCTTGCCCAGTCAGGGCTGCCATCAAGAGGGTACAGTCCATACAGGTGTATGGGGACCAGGCAGGTTTGTTGAGGGCCTCCTCTTCTTAGGAAATTCAGGGAGGGGGAAGGGGAGCCACCAGCATTGCTTACCAGTCCCTTTACCTGTGAAGGAGCTGGTCTCGCATGCCTTCTCTCCCTCACTAACTTGCTCCAACGTCACACCGCATGGGAGCTGTCCTGTCACACTGGAGATGGAACTGGGAGGAAAGAAAGTAATACAGCTGGGGGGTAGAGATGGAGCTGGAAAGAAGAAAGTGAGATGTGTGTGAGAGGAGAGAAGTAGCTGGGAAGAAAGGGAGGAGTGTATTATATTAATATTTACATGTGAATATATTAGAAGTATAATTGTGTATGACATACTAGTTTTGCAATATATACACAAATATTAATACATTGCACCTGCATTTGTATATAAAATGTACACACTATAGCCCCTACACACACCCATCTATACATCTATACCAACAATTAATACATCCCGGCAGGAGGGACAGACAACACTGACCACTGCTCTAAGTGCATCCAGCAACCCTCAAGGTGTTTAGATGCCCTTTATTGTGACATCACACACAAGTGGCAAAGTTTCAACCCTAAAATGGCTTCTTAAGTTTGTAGTCAAAGCCTTATGCAAAGACTCTCTCTTACAGCCCCAAACAACAGCATTCATACATTTGCACTCAGGACTCGGAGGTAGCAAGTCCTATCTAAAAATAGGGTTTTTCTTTCTCTCTCTCTTTCAAAACTTGATAAAAGGATTACACTGGGACCTCGGTTTACGAATTTAATGCGTTCTCCGGGACATTTCTTATTGTGAAACATTAGTAAACCGAAACGCAGTTTCCCATAGGAATGCATTGAAAACCAATTAATCCGTTCTGGAGGTCAGAAATAAGTCAAAATGAGCTGGCATGGAAACCAACCCACAATGCAGAACACACAATAAAATGCATGCAAAACTACGAGGCACAGCTCCCTACCTTTCCACTGCTTGAGAAATGCACCAAAAAGTCCCAAAACAACTGCAAACAATTTCCAGAATGGCTCCAAAACTCGATGCAAAAGCTGCTCCAACACCTCCACACTCGACGCCACGTGCTACCCACAGGCTCCAGCATGCAGGGAGCAGTGCTATAAACCTCCCAGGTGCAATTGTGTATTGTGAAATAAATTTGTAAACCGAGGCATTATTTTTAATGGATTTTTATTTGTAAACCGAAAATTATGTTAACCGAGGTGTTTGTAAACCGAGGTCCCACTGTATTAGATTAAATAGTTCTAAAGTGGCACGTGTCTTTTAAGAAAATTTCAATTTCATTTTCCAAGTTAATTTGTCCATAATCCAGCAGTCAAAATAATCCCTCACAAAGGCAAACTGCAGACATCACAGGCAAAGGAGAACAAAATGAAGGGCCCAGGTATTGAGATTATTATTTTATTATTTATATAGCGCCATCAGACTCCGCAGCGCTGTACAATGGGTGGACTAACAGACATGTAATTGTAACCAGACAATTGGACGTACAAGAACAGAGGGGTGGAGGGCCCTGCTCCATGAGCTTACATTCTAGAGGGAGTGGGGTGTAGTGACACAAAGGGTAAGGGTAGGGGTACAAAGTAGGTTGTTAGAAAAGTATTAATTGAGGGCTAAGTAGGTAATTTTTGACAGTTAGAGGTGGGAGTACGGACAGAGGATAAACGTAGATCTTTGGCAGAGCTTAGGGGCCTCGATGGGACATACTTGTGTATTAGGGAGGATAGGTAGGTTGGAGCAGCATTATGTAGGGACTTGTAAGCAAGCACCAGAATTTTAAATTGAGCCCTATATCTAACTGGAAGCCAATGCAGGGACTGACAGAGTGGGGAGGCGTGAGAGGTGTGGGCGGACAGGAAAATGAGCCTCGCCGCCGCATTCATTATAGATTGCAGTGGTGCAATCTGGGAACATGTAAGACCACTGAGAAGAGTATTGCAGTATTCCAGGCGAGAGAGAACAACGTAAGAAGGAATAGATAATATGAATAAAGGCAAGTTGCAAAACAGGGACTAAATTTATTAAGATATGCGGCATAAGGAAAGGAAAACTGAAAGAAAAGAAAAATGGCGATGTTGCATTTTTTTTCCCTGTAAAAATGTTAAAAAGAAATTACCAATTTACTACATATATAAGACAAAAATGTTTAAAATAAATAACATTTATCGATATTATGTCAGGAATGTGCCATGCTACCAGATTAATTTCGTTTAGCTCAACATTTTGAATCACTTTATGCACTGCAAAAAAAAAAACATTGTGATTCTCTTGAAAGTCAAAAAATGTTCAGTGCAAAAGTATTTGTAGTTAGATCTGCCATGTGGTGTTTTGAAAGGGCTGCAGGATGCAAGGTCTCAGTACGCCCTCTAACTGACTCTGCAAGGTAATACAACAAACAACTCTGGAACTCTTATATGACGCTAAACCTACATTAGAGTTTAATGTTTAGTGCTAGAATAAGCTTTTGTAACACAGACTTGACCATTATAGGTATGCCATGTCAAGGCAAAAGGATATGAAATAAGCCCTGTGCTCACACTCCCACTACCATTAGACTGCAGCAATGCCTATAGCAGGGGTAGGCAACCTTTGGCACTCCAGATGTTATGGACTATATCTCCCATGATGCTTTGCCAGGATTCTGACTGTAAGAGCATTACGAGAGATCTAGTCCAGAACATCTGAAGTGCCAAAGGTTCCCTTCCTCTGGCTTATAGAAAGTATCATCTCAAATCACTGAGTGAGAAGATGGAGTCTAGTTATCCATTATGGTCCACAACAAGACCAAGGGATTTTAATACTGAATATCTACAAAAAGAAATACTTTAGACATATATTAGTTGTTGAAGTCAGAAAATACAGCATTTTCCTATTCTCCCAATCTTTGTTTCTGACTTCAACAAATTAACTGTTATTTTTGCACTTATCACTTCAGAATTTTATTATTGAACTGCTAAAATCTATACATTTCTTATATCTATGTATTTCCTGTAGTTTATTCAAGTTTTTTGTAGTAAATACTATGCACACTATCTGGAGTTATTATGAATAATTTTAATGATGTTTTAAGGTAAAGGTTATGTTTTGGGATTTTTATTTTAAAGAGACCTATAGCTTTTTTTCCCTTTGCAAATACATGCAACAAAACAAAAAGTGAGTGCTGCGTGTTTTACAGAGCTTAAGGACTGTGTACACTCTGTATCCAAACTAGCATTATCAATAAGACACATAAATGGTCAATTGGCAATCAATAGGCTGTAAATTAGCATCACAGCTAGTAACACTGTTATAGAAATAACGTTCCCTGTACATTACTGACTTGGCATCACTAACACACCCCTGTAGCAGCCACCTCTTCTTTCATTGGGACTAAAAGGGCAAGCTGCCATGCAAATATGAGCACACAGACCATTACACGTCCATGTTTCAATGCTGTCTCCCATCTCATGTGTGTCCTGTTAAGGGTTAATAAGTGTGTAGGAATTCATAAGAATACCCCTCTCTGTCTCATTAGAGATTTTGCCTGTGAGCTGAAAGTACACTTTAGTGGTCACTTTAGTGGAACTAATAAAATGTTATTTAAATATACATAGGGGTTTGTCGATACTGTGCAGGTAACTTTTGTTTTTCTTCTTCTATTTATTTGGGTTAATAAATACTACAGCCATTGCTGCCACCCAGGAGTAGTGGGATTTCGAGCACAGGGTTTAATACTGCGTGATTGTAGCACCGTAATAACCCTGGTGGGCAGGAGAGGTCCCAAATTGATACTGCCCCACCAGATCTATCACACATAGGATATATAGCTGTTTAAATGTCTTCTGTCCTTACATTACTGTAATTAGATTCATCTTAATTGCCAGACCCAATAGGCTTTTAAACAATAGATATGTAGTTACCTGATTATTAATCATCTCCTTCCAAACCTCTTATTCAAGAGTCTGAATGGCACTCAATGGCACTTAGCAAGATCCACCATCATACATTCCTCCTATACAGCCCAAGCGCAAGATGTGCTTTACAACACAAAAATTAACCATTACTTCATTAACAGAGTGACTATAACATGGATCTTGTGTGGCCCCTAGTGATGTCGCGAACTTGCCGCGAACGGTTCGCCGTGAACTCCGGTCAGCTGACACATCCCTGCCAATCTCCGGCAGACCCTCCCTCCCAGACCCTTCCACCTCCTGGACAGCATCCATGTTGAAGGCAGCTTCAACATGGATGCTGTCCAGGAGGTGGGAGGATCTGGGAGGGAGGGTCTGCCGGAGATTGGCAGGGATGTGTCAGCTGACCGGAGTTCGCCACGAACGGTTCGTGGCGAACCGTTCGCGGCAAGTTCGCGAATGGTTCGCGACATCACTAGTGGCCCCTATATGTGTTAAACAGAACTCTTATCCGAACTGACTAATGTAAGTTGTGTATATAAGGAAACTTGTCATCTGCATGCAGTGGATGTAATCAGCTTCTTTATTTGTACACAGCCCGATAAACTGTGTGTTGAATCCAGAACCCCTTCCGTCCAGTCTACCCTGCCTCCTTTCATTGAATACTTATACCCTCTGACTTTTGCCACTGCCTCTATCCAGGTCTCCCTGCATTTAATGCTCACTCCCTCCCTGCCCCTTTTTGGCACTGCCACTGTCCAGTCCTCCACCCCTTCGTCTTTTCAGCCCTTCTTCTGTCCTTCCACTCTGTGTTGCGGCGCATGCTGCACATGCACCCTAGGTCTAACAGTGCCTCGGACCAGAAACAAATGACGTGGCTTATCAACGACATAGGTTTAGAGCAGATTTGCACTGCCACAACAGCTGGTGCAAACAGATTTTTAGACAATTGATAACTGTAGTATGGCATCAAGAACAGTTTTTGGCTTTTTTTTATAAAGGGAATAAACAGGATTAAAACGTGAGCCTACACATCAATAAACAGTAAATACTTGTAAACACGAGGGATAGCATAGTAGGTGTAAGGATTTGAGGTGATAAGAACCACTAGACATGCCACCAAACTGTCATGCTCAACTATACAAGTTTAGGCTAACCCCTGTAAGGAAAGAAGACTGACGCTTGCCGGGGCAAGCTTAAAACAGAGGGGCACAGTACAAAAGTAAATCTTAGCTTATGACCTATATAGAAGTATGTTATGCTAGAGGGTGATACAGGTCAGGGGCCTGTAGGAATAGTGATAGAATAAGTGAGAATTAGTATGATTACAGAAAAGACGGTATATACTGCTGCTAGGTGTACTAGTAAAGTATGGTAGTAGTGATGCCGCTGGGTACTAGGTATTAACGTAAAAAGCAGTGGAGCAAAAGTAAAATCAGAAAACAGATATAAAATAGAGACTTAAACATAGAACCCTTCTCTGCTAGCAGGATGGTTGATGTGGTACAGGCTGAGTCTTCGCCTTCTGGGGTTCATCCGATACCCCGAGTAGGCCGCAGAATACAGTCCACCTCTGGGTCAGTCTTGGGTTTATACCTTGCCTCTATACACCTCCACAACAACCACGGTGTCACATGCTCATATTCTGTAGCAGAAATGCTGTTCCTGGTTACTGCGCCCATGGGAGCCCTAGCTTGATAAGGGTCTGGTGTCGTGCTTCGGTATACCCTCCATCTCTTTTTGGCGTGAAGTTTGCCACGTAGCTTGAAGTGCCATAGAGCAAGTGCCGGGATATCCTTCACCGGTGGGGGTCCCTTCCACCTCTCCTCATCCTGGCAGGATGATCAGCAGGGATATCGGCCGCTTCTCCCCAGCTGCCACTATATGTAGGCCTCAGAGATGCTTCAGGGTAAGACCACCAGTTTTGCTGCTAAACACCTCAAAATTTGCCGCAGCGTGTCTCCAACAGGAGTTTGTCGGGTTTACTCAGGTGATGGGTCAATTTATTTAATTCTATAATTTTGCTGAGAGCTCACACTAAGTGCGACCGTTCAGTATATCGGTCAGGACACAATTTAGGCAAAAACAGTGACTTACAGTAAGTGAATTGATAACCAAGATACACATTTTTAAAAACCAGTCAAAATAATTTTTTTCCCCACTTGTCTATTTTCACATAATTTGTCTGTTTACTTACTATTTAATTAATATATCACTTAACATCAAGTTGGAGGATATTATTACAAGACCAAATATACCATTTCTTCTCTTAAAGCAAATATGTATTCCTAATGCGGCGAATAAAGGGCTAATTAACAATTTATTTGCTTACTCTTCCCCATCGACGTCCGCTCCCGAGTGGAGCTAAATGCACATGCGCATTCAAACCCGCCCATAGGAAAGCATTACTAATTGTTTTACGCTAGACTCCATGAGGACGTTCAACATCAAATATGTGCGATTTACTCCGTGTAAATTGTGGAAGCTGCCTCTAGTGGCTCTCAGAGAGACGGCTGTCACGACAAGGGTGCATAATTTATTATTACACTATGGAATATTATCTTTTAATGTAATTTGTGTAGTAAATGGCACAAATTACAAAGATAGGGTTGTTGAGGTCAAAAGGGGTTACATCTTTTGAAGCTGGGACCCCCACAGAGGTCAGATGACAGAAGGGGTAGTATGAATGGCATAGCAATGTGAACAAGATTTACCATATGATGTGAAGTAATCAAGGCTCTGCAAGGTGTGAGGTTCTACACTTGGAAAAAGTCTGAATGTAAGGGATGAGTAAATCTCTTTGATATGTAAATGCCATTAGCTTTGTTCCAGTATCATATCCAAAGGAAGGACAAAAACATTCATATTTACCCCACAGAATAAAAATAAAGCCTCATTTTTATTATATTTGGAATGGGACAAACCCAATCTTTTAATTAAGCCTAAACATGAGTTGCACAACTTAAACTGTGTGGCAGGAATTGTGATGTCCGTCCTATTGGATTGCAGGTGGGGCGTGCGACATGTCTATGGGATGGGAAAATAATAAATTCATAGAGGCAATTATTATTTCTGTGACGGGTACATACGAGAAAATAAAACGAAATGTTTCCATTTGGATTCATGTGGCTCTGGACACAAGGGGGTGGTCACTTTTTATTTCTGTAGGTACGCCTTAACTCCACCTCCGGGTGAGGCGTGGTAATCCACAGGGTATATATTTAATGATCCTGAAGGGTGTTGGTGTACTTGCTGGGGCCAAGAATCTAATTCTCAGTGAGTCACCATCTTTCCTTGCCAGAGACCCCCTGGACAGAAGTTGTACTTTGAAAACCTAAGTGAGTAATTAGGACTTCTGTATTTTATCCTTTTTATTTTTATCTGTTGTTGGTGTAAATAATTTGTTTATCATATATTGTTAAAAGCACTGTGACTATTTTTTGCTCATAATAAACATTCATTTATTAAGTTCTGCCTTTGTCTGGTTAAAAATCACGTTACCGGAAGAGACTAGTTAGTATTTTTATAATTCCTTAAATATTGTACTAAGTAATATTTGGTGGGTTTTATTATTGATTTACCTGGGGGACCAAGGCACCCCATTTATAAATTGTCTTGGTGGTGGCATTGCTAAAATAGTAATAGTTATATTATTATGTTTAAGTGTGGGTGGTGTTAAAAGGGGGGATTTTGTCATTATTTTCGGTCTAGTGCAGACAAATAGTGTACTTTAACCCTTTCACCACCACAACTACGTCACACACACTCTTGGAGTAGGGTGCGTTCGTGACAACGGCCACTAGAGGCTGGATTAACCCTGCAGTGTAAACATAGCGGTTTCTCTAAACTGCTACAGTTTTCAGCTGCGGGTTAAAACTAGGGGGACCTGGCACACAGACCACTTCATTGAGCTGAAGTGGTCTGGGTGCCTTTAGTGGTCCTTTTATATAAGAACATATAAAGAGTCTCTCTTTAACAGCTGTCACAGTGAGGTGACAATGCATGAACATAGTACCTGTTGGCATTTTGTCATTTTACCTGGGGCACTTTCCTTTGGCAGTTAGCATGAAATTTGACCTTTACCTGAGATTTTCCTGCTTAATAAATAACTGCAAATACTGCAATATTTGTCTTGTAAGGCATCCAGACACTTAGAAGCCAACAAGGTAAGATTTCTTGTTGCACGTATCCTGGAGGGGGTATACGGTTCCGCAATGGGTTTTAGAAAAATGTATACCGTTCCTCCAGCAAGGTTAACATATATTAAGATACTTGGATCTTCCTGATGTCATTGTAACAGGGAAGTAGTATATTATGTATGACATAAAGTGTAACTCAAGCAGATATTAAAGGTCAAAAAAGTGTGATGTTATAAGCAATATGTCTAAAGGCATCATTTTTAAAGCAGTATCTATTTGGGATGTAAAATGTTGACTTTGAACAGGCTGTTTGGACATAAAAACATAAAAGCTGTGATTTAACTCATGCTTATTGTTTTAAGCAAGGGCAAGATAATAAATTTGGGCAGCTACATACAAGCAAGCGACTTGGCAAATAGGAAAAATAACTAAAAATATATAGCATGTGCGCTCCGCAAATAATTAGAGGAAACAAACATTCCTATAAAAGATATATACCTTTAATAAAAAATACCAGCTAAAACAATGAAAAATAATTACCCTATATATATTAAATAACTCTTAGGTGGAACATATAACATAACAAATAAACGATGTATCCATTTCTAACATTGGTTAATAACATATACTTCCCAAAAACTGCAAAAGTTTCAATTAATACAGAAGCAGCATGTTGCAGTCCAAAGGAAAAGTAGATGTCAACACAAAGGGGGTTGAGCAACTAAATGTTGCAAATCTTAGTGAAAAACCCTTTTAATAACATTGCATGTAAATTGTATAAAAACTGTAGGTAATGTAAGATACTGGATAAATATCCCTCTCTAAGAGAAAAATGATCAAATAAATATACAAAAACATTAATATTTGTATTGAAAAGTATAAAAAAATTAATAAAAACGTGCAAAAAAATATAAAAAAATCCAAGAGAGCTTGCTATAATATACACAGAACTGGTTTATGTGATGTATGGTGCTATTAAAGGAACACTCCAGCTCGCACTAATGGTTATGGTACCCTACCTAGAGTGCCTTGGCACCCCGTATCGGAGTCGAGATGTTTTTGAATAGTTTGGCTTAACTGTGTTTCTGCTTCCAATACCATCTCCCCGGAGAAGGAAGTTCCTCAGTAACTTCCGTTAAATATCCTGAGCTAAGCCCTGCAATGCTTAACTAAGGAAAGCTACGCACTATGATCCTGTTAAGGAACTTCGATATCTTGGGATACGGTTGTGGGGAACAGCCCTGTTGAATCCAAAGTAAAAAGTCAAACC